ATTAGCAAGCAAGAAAACTAGCTAAATTCAGAACCAGTCGTTCTTTAATGTCGGATTAAATTACACTGCGAGGCAAGAAAAGCATTTTTATATACTGCGTATATAAAAATGTAAATGTATTAAGAATTAGTTGTGTTTAACAATAAACTGACAAACAAAAAAACAAAAAAGGACAAAACAGAGATTGTTTAATTCCATTTAACAACAAGGAAGCAAGTTTTTGAGTGTATGTGGGTGTATCGCCGTATTAAATGAACATGTTTTGTTTTTTCTCAGTCGCAGTAACCTGGAAATACTGAACCACTGTCACTTTCCCCTTTCATGAGCAGCCTGTGATGCTAGCAAGTAAGGAAAGGGCAGTTTACAGTATTAAACTTTCTTATCTATGTCACAGTCGTTACGTCGGAGACTATGAAACTATGAGAATGTTGAGAATGAAAGCAACAAATTCACACATCGTTATGGAAATTAAAATAAAAAATCCAGAAATATTTTTTTTTTATAATAATCTTTGGACAAAGTTGAGTAGTTCATGAGATTCTAACTATGTGGCATAAGCTTGATGAAAATCTCAAAACCCAATTCTGATAAAAAATAAGAAGAGAGCTGAGACGGTTAAGCTTTCATGGCGCTCCTCACACGACAGAAGATCTCATCTGTCTGCCAACACCTCAGTTGATTTTGCCCTCCTGACCTCTCTGTAAAAAGCCTCTGAGTCTGGAACAACACATTGCATTTTGACATTTCGGGGCTTTTAGGAGAATTATGCCAAATTCCTGTTTAAAATACCAGGGGCGGCACACCCTTTTTGTGTTTTACTTCTGGTTAATTGTCAAAGTGAATTACGATCAGGCTAATGTGGGTTACCGAGCTGAGATGGAAGGCTGCAGAGGCAACTGTGGGATGTGGTCACGCAGGGGGGAGAAAGAGCTCGACTTTGGTCAAACGCAGGAATTGGGAGAAATAGCCTATTCTGGGATTTGGATGTGCCCGGAAGTGGAATGAAAGCATCCTGGATGATTTCCACCAGCTGAAAATCTAAGCCGCAGCGGCCACAGAGAAAATCTTTGACCCAGAATTGCTTTTGCCCCACCAAAAGAGAAAAAAAAAAGAAGAAAAATCAAGCCAGAACTGTGTTTCAGTAGAGCGTGGAAAGGATAAAATAGTCTGGGTCACTCTCTAAGGAATAAAAAATAATTTCTTGTCTCCAAAATAAAAAAAAAAGAGGGTCGCTCAAATCCAATGGCTCTTTTATTTTCAAAAAGCTTCACTTAAGTATTTACAGTTTGTGCAAAAACATTTAAAGGTTTCAAGGACTTTACATTGTAAGTTCAACCTCAAGGCACATACATGGAACAACATCGACATTTCATCATGAGAAAAAAAAAGAAGAAATTTTTAACTTTGGTTCCTAAGAAAACATCTCAGTGTGGATGGCTAATGTAACACTGCAGTGTCTAAATGAGAAGCCAGTATCCCGACACAGCCATTTTACATGCACTGTAAAATTCCAGCCCACTTCTTCTGAACCTTTATGGAAACCTTTGTGTACAGTCACTCGCGCTGTAATCACCTCTGGGTGATTGTTTGGAAGAAAAAACAAAAAGAAAAGGACAAGGAAAAAAAAGACAAATACGGTACATGCGAAGCTTCTTGAATGAAAATCACTGGCTGATAATATTTTCAGGAAAGTTTTTTGCCCGTGAGAAGAAAAAGGTGACCACGAACGATCCCGTTTTGCATGTGTTACCGGCTAAACTGACCTCGGCCGTTAAACCGAATTTCTTCACTGTAAACCCGATACAGCAACAAAACCAATGCTCGCAGTCATTTAGTCTAATCCCATTGGTCACGGCACTGCGGCCACATTCTTTCCTCGAAATTAGGAGTAATGCGCGCTTAAAAAACAACCGCCCCAGCTATTTCCCCGGCCTGGTTCGCTCATTAGCCATGCGCCGCTTCATTTCTGGCACTACGGATGAACAGTCTCTCTTTTTAGCTACAGTGTGTCATGCCTCCTGCTACTCGGCCCGTTAACACTGTTATGGTTGTTGCTGTCGGTTTCGTCGAATATTCGTTCCGCACAGATCTCATCTTTTTCCCCTCCTTCCTCTAAAATCTCTCTAGCTAATCATTTAGCTCTGCGTACAAGGTAAGGCAAATATCTGTCTCCGTTACACATTCACAGACAGGGGGAGATACTATATATTGCAATGGTTTGACCTATGGTTTGTCTTTGATCAGCATGTGACCCCTTTACTTTAACTGGGGCTTTTATCTTTAACCGTAAAAAAAAAACAGACACACATGACGCTCCAATCAGAATCAGTTGTTTAGGCGGGGCGTGTCCAGGGATAGCTCAGGTCAGTGTGTGTGCGTCACTGAACAGTGTGTGTGTGTGTGTGTGTGTGTTGGGATGAGCCGATATGTGGCTATTGGTACAAAAAGCATGAGGCAATAAGTACAGATGCTTTGATAACCACAGAAGATTTCAATATGTTTAAAGGAAGAAAAAAAACAAACATCCAAATATGTCCCTCTACCGCAAGTTGGTTGTATTTAACAGGAAGGCGTACATCTTGCTGACACATACAATGACGGGGCATTATCCTATTTTAAGTTGAAATAATTACGTCTCCAAACACAACGTCAGCCTATTTGCTTGCAAATTCACAAGACTGAGTTTGCACCAAAATCTTAATCTATACAAGTTTCAAACTTAATTTTAGCATACAATAAATTGTCTCTTTTTTTGCCAACTCTCTGAAATCTACTGGTTGAAATATGTAATCAATTAAGTTTAATTTTGTTGTGTTTTTTTGGCTTTCAAATATTACGTAAATAGAAATCACACATTCAGACATGAAGGCTGGTTTAGCCTAGCTTAAAGTCATCAGGGAACTGGCCAAGCTCACTCTGTCCAAATAAACCTACACTGGTTAAGCCTGCACAATAGAACTTTTTATATATTTTAAATCTGTAACAAGATTTTGAGACATTACCAATCTAAGTACAGTATATAATCTTTGTTTATTTTGAAAATATGCTTCAACAACTGATGAAATTCCCCCAAAATCAAACATAATTGAAATATACTATGGTAGTTTTTTTGTTTGGTTAAAAAAGTTGATATTTTCAATGGGTTTTCTAAATCTTGCAAAGGTTTTAAGCATTGGATGAGAGGTTGGGACCTGAGCTATTGCTGGAATTACAGTAAATGCAGCTAATGTCAAGACGTCTGAAAAAGTGAGAAATGATTTTGAAGCTCTGGAACTAAAAGAGTATGAGCCCTTGGAGAAAAAGAAATACTGAATTTAAATGTTCCACCTAGTTTTAAGAGTAGTTCGGGCAGCAGAATCTGTCTGACTCACAAAAAAGCTGAACTTCCTTTCAAGTCTGAGCTTCATCCAGCTCAGTGAAAATAAGGTCCACATATTTTTCTTCCTTTTTTGGTTGAGGATTATGAGAAGAAGGAGGGAAAGCAGGGGGGAATCTGTAAGCTTGGTCCCTCGAAATAAAATCTTGTCAGATTAAATCGAGTCAAAAGAAGCATAATGAAGACCTCTCTTGTGCGGAGAGCTGCCATCTCAGACTGCTAGCTGAAGGGCAGGAAACCGGTTTTAATTGAGCCCATGCCGAGATCAGAGTGTGGAGTCAGACATCCACACAGGCAGGAATAGAAAGAGGGTAAATGAGGGTGGACAGGTGTGAATCAATCCCAAAGCAGCTCGGGCTACAAATAGAGCAGGTGAATTGTTCAAAATGTGAAAACGGTAAATGAAACAGGGTGTCTTACAAGTATGAACCTAAGCATAAACGACAAGAAGCTAGATGAGACTCTGGATCAGAGCACCGTGTGTGATCATGGGAGGGGAGTATTCTTATTGTTTCAATTTCCTAATTCATCACTGAGTCTAATGAAAGCTGGGACACGGCTGAAAAATGTGGGTGTATAATTAGCATTACATTTGTGCCACCTCAAAATTCATCAGCATCAAAGGGAATCTTCTTCCCTGAACAGACAGTGTTGAAAATCCATATCATTTAGCCACCAAAACACTGTTGGTTTGAAATGCTTCCGTGACATTAAGCAGCTCGATGAGCACGAGTAGTCTACACAATGCCGTCTGAGCATGAATAATGCCATCTGGGTAATGTTCACCGAGGGGAACGGTGGGGGTAAAGCGATCTCTACCCTTTCTTCCTCTGTCCCACACACACCCGCTGAGGGAAAACCTGCCCTCTTGTGGCCAAAAACTGGTGTTAAAAAACAGAGCAAGAGCAAATAATAGGATTTCTTCCAAGTGATCTGCAAACCTCAGCTCATCCGCGCTCATTAAAGACAATAATCCTTTGTTGCTTTTAAGCTAACTTTCTGCGCATCCTTTTCCAGAGGTTTCCAAAAGCGTCTCTTGACTAATCCCACCTTTATCCCAGGGTAAACTAATAGAACAAAGATGCTCTTAGTGCTAGGGCACTTTTGGGAAATCACGGCCCAGAACTTTTCACCGGCATAGAAAGGAATGGGTGGGTTGCAAAGTTACAAAACCAGAAAAAAGGCCATATTTTGTTTTCTGTGGTTAGCAAAGGATCCCAGCCCTCTAAAGCCCCCCCTAACCGTTCCGAGGCCGACAGTATTTTTGTCAGAAGCTACACCCAGGGTGCCGTGATTGTACAAATCCATGTTCATGTACAGTACTGACCATTAAAACAACTTTCAAAACCCTGCTGGTTATTAAAAATAAAGAAGAAGAAAATGAAAAGAAATACTTGTATATCTTTTTCTAAGAATAAAAAAGATAGCAGAGAATCCCACATTATTATCCACAGTATAAATTACATTGTAGACAGAACTTGGAAATATATATAGTACAGTTATATTTCACTAGAATTTTTATATTTTTTGTTGTCTACACAAACAGTGTACGAGTGTGTGTTTATGCAGTTGTTCCTGTTCTGCGTGTGTGTCTAAAACAGCACTGCACCGGAGTGCCGCTGCATCACGTGTGGCAGAACTCCGTACTGGGCACATTGCTGCTCTTGCAGTAGGCTATGCTGTTGTTACTGAGGTGACAGTCTCTAAATCCAATGCCCCCGTTGGGCGTGTAGATGGGCTGAATGCGGAAATCTCCCTTAAGCAGCTGCTCATTGTTCAGAGCCACTATCTGGAAGCTGGTCTCGGTCATCTCCAGAATGGAGTTGTCCTTCTTGGTTCCGGCCTCGCAGTAGTCGTCTTTTCTCCGGCCTCGGTTGTATTTCCACTTGTTCGAGGCCGACCGGCTTTTCCTGTGCATGTGCCAGCAGAACACCCCCAGCAACGTCACCAAGATGATGAGAACGGCCCCGCCGATGATCCCGGCCATTAGCAGCGTGGAGTTGATGCTGTCCCGCGGAGCTTGCTCCGTGCCGGGAGGCTTGCCGGAAGCGGCCGACTTGGTCCTGGCCTCGGAGCATATAGTATCCTCTCCGGGCCTGAAAGAGTTGAGCGTGTCCAGGACGTGAACGCATATTCGGTACACGGATCGCGGCTCCAGGTTGGCGAGGCTGATGTGCCGTCGGTCCCCGCTTACCGTCCTCTCCCGCATCCCTTCGTTTATTTGGCTTTGGGCCCTTTTGACCCAGGTCACTTTGTAGGCCGTGACGGTGAAATAGGAGGCCCAGCTCACCTCAATATTGGTGGAGTTCACCACGTGGAACGAAATCTGAAGGGGGTCCTCGTAAGGGGGTCGAGGCCCCGGGGGGTTAGGATGGACTGGAGGTAAGGGAGGGGAGGGAGAGTCGAAGTAGTAAGGGACGGGGGTGGTGATGAGGGTGGAGACCATGGTGGTGACAGGGGTGGTGGTTGGCGGGGGAGGGGGTGTGGAGCGGAGGGTGGGCCAGGGCGGCTGATCGGGATAAAGGGGGCACTCTATAATATCCAGTGTGAGCTCTCTGATTGTCATGCCACGCACTTTGTCTGGACTGGAGCACACGAACCCTCTGGCGTTGATGAAGGACGGCAAAGACTTGAGCCACACCACCACCCACTTCACAGCGCAGTCGCAGCGCCAGGGGTTGTTTCGCACCACGAGGTGCCTAAGGCTCGACAGGCCGTCGAACACACCCTGCGTAAGAGTCTGAAGCTGGTTGGAAGAGATATCCAGTTTTTCAAGCCTGTTCAAATCGGCGAAAGCCGCCACAGGGATCTGGTTGACCTGGTTTTCCTGCAGATTGAGCTTGACCAGCGACTGGCTGGGTAGGAGGGGAGGGGGGAAGGTTAGAGAATTGCGAGCGAGGGCCAACTCGCGCAGGTTGACCAGTTCCTGGAAGGTCCCGGGCGCAATGCCCTCGTCCGTCAGCAAGTTACCGTCCAGCATGAGGCGCTGCAGGCGCGTCACATTCTGAAAGGCCTCCTCCGCTATCACAGCAATGCGGTTCTCGTCCAACCGCAGCTCCTTCAGGTCCTCAGGAAGACCGATGGGAACGCTGCTTAAGTGGTTCTTAGTGAGGAAGAGAAGTTTGAGGCTTACGGCCTCCCTAAAGGCCCCTTCCTCCACCCCGACGGTGGAAATGGAGTTATCGTCAAGGTGCAGCTCCTCCAGTTTCGTAAGCTGGGCCAGGGCCGCTCGGGAGATCGTCTGGATGTTGTTCTCCTGGAGATGCAGGACCCTGGTGTTTTTGGGCAGATTGACCGGGAATTCGTCCAGCTGGTTGCCGTAGAGATAGACGGTGTCCACGGAGGCTTGGTTATGAAGTTCCAAAGGGAATCCAGCATTGTTGATCTGGTTATTGTGTAGGTATAGGACCTTGTAGCCCTCCTCTATTCCCAGAGGCACTGACGTCAAGCTGCGTTCATTGCAGTACACGAACATTTTGTCACAACGACACTCCTCCGGGCAAGAGGCACCTGGGCTGAACTGCATTTGGAGGCTCAGGATGACAGTCAACCAAAACTGCAAGAATGAAGCCCAATCTTTATTCCAGGGTCCGGTCAAAAACTCCATAGTGGAAAAAAGACGGGAAAGGGAAGCCTATAAAAATGATAATATCAATAATAACAAAAGGAAAATTCAAATCAAGAGGGCAATGACGTACGTATCCAACGAAGAAAAAGCACAAAAAAAAACGGACCCACAAAAAGTCCAACTAGGGAAGTCTCGTCATGAAGCAGTCAGATGGGAAACACGCGGGACACGGGGGGGTGGGGGAGTAATCCTGTAAATTGCAAGTCCTCAACCGGAGAGTGACGGTGCCCTTAGTGGTGGTCAGTCCTCTGACTGTCTCCATCCATGCTGAGACATCAAACCATAGCTGCACCCTTCACTCACGGCTCCACGCGGAGCTCAGCCAGGGACCAATCCGAAGGCGTGCAGTCGCCGGCCGCCACAGGCCCCTCTCGCCTGTCCGTCACACGCTGCTGGTCCACCACCACGGCAGATTCCAGGGGGGGTGACATTTGGATCCGGAGATCTGCGGGTGGAAAAGAAAGAAAAAGCTGGATGAGTATTTTCAGGTGTGATTTATGATCTTTCTCTCTCCCTCTTCCATTATTTAACATACAAACACATACATACACATACAAATAAATCAGCTGTCTCTCCTTTTGTCTCGCTCCTTCCTTCCCTCCTCCAGAAAGACAGACTCACAAGGCATACTTTTCATTTCTTGTTTGGAATAATGCACTATGTTTAAAAAGAGTCTAATAAATATTCAGAACAGCTCTTGCACATCCGGTTTCAACGACATAAAGAAGGCTTTTATCCCCCCCCACCCCCCCTCCCCTGCACCCCCATGCTCTATCAAAGGAGGTAATAGAGTACTGCAAGGACACACACTCACAAATTCTTCGGGGTTCTCTGCAACATCAGTGTTGCTTAATGGAAAACATGCTAAAAAAGAGATAGGGCAAATACAGACATCAGCTTACTGGGTGCCAACACGGATTGACGAGATATTTCCTAGGGAGAGAAAAAAATAAAAAGAAAAGAATACACAACGGGAACAACCGCCTTTTTTCTTTCTATTTTTTTTTTCCCAGCTGTTTGAGCAGACGTTGTGGGCCGAGGTGGACGAGTAAACACAACCACTGCTTACAGTAAACAGAAGTGGCCGAGTTATAACCGCCGTGCAGGCCATCGACCAAACTCGAGATTTAGGGGGGTCGGGGTGGTCGGAAAACAAAGGGGGGGGGCAATCGAGGAACGGAGCGTATACCCTACATATTTATATATATATATATATATATATATATATATATATATATATATCTCTCCCCCTCAATCTGAGGGGTGACACGCATGAGCTGTCACCTGAAATGGGATTGGAATATAATTCTGCCTCCTCACCTCCAATAAATGATCAATACAGGCTATTTTTCAACGTATTGGGCCTTGCCGTAAAGCACAAGGCCATCGGATTACGGTAACACGCCCCCCCCCCCCCCCTTCCACACACACACACATCGCCCGAGGCCATTATTCCCAACTTTTTATGACCCATCAAATATTAACCCCCTCCCCGCCTCTTTTTTTTTTCTCCGTGATTGAAAGATAGCGGCTGTCATGTGTGGATTTGGGCTTAGCCCAAGCTCCTCCCAGAGCCAACGTTTGGATGACACACAATGATAGGAACGACGGGTTGAATGTTAAGCACTACGGAGCCCACCGAGAGTGTAAATCCAGGCGCCCTGCACGGTTTTCCCGGCTATTCCCTGATCCTGAATTCCCTGCCTTTTCCCGGGAAAACTTTTAGAACCCCTTAAGGCATGCTTTGCATTAGAGACAGGGAACATTTTCAAAGACACAAAATCACACTTGAATTGATTTAATTTTCCCCTTCCCAGGCCAATTTATTCATGTATTAATTTATTTATTTACATTATCTGCATTGCTTGTTGTGGAGAGGGAGAAACCCTGCATGGGCTCCCTCTCTGTGGAGACAGAAACAATCCTTTGACACACATCTGTGATCTACTTTTCTAAATTGAAAGAGCTAAATTTAATCAAATAAGCTTCAGGGGTGGAGGGGTTGGGGGGGGTGGAGGGGGGGGGGGTAAGCAACCACATGAGGCGATGAAATGTGCAGCACACAAGCAGCAGAATCAACAGCAGAAGGCAGCAGCATCAAGATTATCACGGCAGCCGGAGTAAAAAATGTCACCAAAGGATCCAAAATTACAAAAGAGGCGCAAGTTGAACTCTACTAAATAAAAAAAAGACGAGAGATATAAAACAGACACGGACCAGTGCGTGAGAGAGTGTTTCAAAGCATTATTTAACCCCCCCATACACTCCCTCCTCCCTTTTTTCTTCTTTCTTTAATTCAATTTCCAGTCGAAGGAGCACACTTTCACGCCACCAGATGAAGGGCTTCGATATGCGGTCGGGACAATCCGATTAGGAGTGGATTTAGCGCCAGAAAACGCAATTAAAAGTTTTAAAATGGATAGGGTATTTAAAGGGGGCGATAAGAGGAGGATCAGGTAAACCTCAAAGGCTGCCCGGTGAGCTGGGGGGTGTGGGGGGGGTCATTTGGATGAATTATTTAAAAGGGGAATTGAAAACCGTGCAGTGCATCGAGGGTGAAAGCCCCTCAGGATGAAAAAAAAAAGAAGTGGAAGGGTGGGTGGGGAGGGAAGGGGGGGGGTCTCTCGGGTGAAAAATGTGCAGCCCAGTAATCTTTACCTCGATCAAATATCTAATTAACCAACGGCCACAATTAGAGCGAATCCATACAAAAGTGACTTTGCCCGGAACATCGGTGGCTTTCATTTGCGTAAATTCGCCCTCTTTAGATGGGCTGGTTTAAAAAAATAAATAAATGACAAGCAGATTCAGGATTATTTCGGAGGAAAAAAAAGTCATAAGTCACTTAGGCCCTGTGTCACTGCTATATCCACCCCCCCCCCCCCTCCTCCTCCTCTAACCTCACTTCTCCCAAGCTTTTTTAAAATATTTTTTTTTATAAGAAACGTCCACTGTACCTTTGGCGAGCTCGTATCCATCGCGAACCCCGGCTACCGCATTCAACTTTTCTTTTTTCTCGACCCCTTTTTTCTTTTATTCCTTCCCCCCTTCCGTCCTCCTTCAGTTGGTCCCGGTGCGCGGCCGTGCGTAAAGGGCTCCCCGGGAACGCGGGCGCGAGTCGGCTCCGGTCGGCAGCGCGAGCCCGTCGAGTCTGCGGAGCTGCATGTTTGCCTTCACGCGCCTAACCTCTCCCCCCCCAACCCGCCCCCCCCCACACCCAGCGTCCACCCCCTCTCCACCTCCGCCGCCACCTCAGTCCGTCCGTATACTTTTTTTTAATATAAAAAAGGAGATTTTTGTTGTTGTTGCGTGCGCGGATCGGTCCGTTTGCTGGGTCCTTTCGAAGCCGGGTGGGGGGGGGTGGGGGGGGCAGAAGGGGGGGGGGGGGGCTCCTCAGCGCAGTCCGCGGCGCGTTTGGGGACCGAAGGAAGCGGATCCAGGTACTTCTCCCATTCCGCGCTCTGCCCGCGCCGTCAGGACGCGCTGGACCGGTCCACTCTGGGTCATCACGGCCAGCCGCGTCCCTTCCGACGCCCCCAACTTGCCTCTCTCTTTATTTTTCCTTCTTCTTCCCTCTTCTTTTCTCTTTTTCTCTTTCCCAGTGGCTGCGCAGCTCGCAGCCGGACTCCCCGCGAGTTGTTTTCTAAGATGGATTCAGCCGATAGTGCGACGTGCGCGCTCTGCTCACCTCTCCCTCCCTCTCTCTCCTTCTCTCTCTCTCTCTCTCCCTCTCCTCTGTCCCTCCCTCCCCTCCTCAGAATGAAGAATGCATCTCCTCCAGCAGCTCCGTGATGGCTCTAAGCCACAGATCCTCCCCACTGCCCCTCACACTGCAGAAAATAGTTTGTCTCACAACAGACTTTATCCTTCTACACGCCTTTTTTACCCTGCCTTACCTTAATTTTTTATTCCCAAAAATCTAAGCATTTGGCTTCAAGTCACATCCTCTGTGAACAATCACCGAGGAGCAGATTTCCTTTATTTTTTCCCCCCAGGGATCAGAAAGGCTATAGGGTCAAACGTCTTAGCACCGCGAGCTTTTATAGGCCACAAAATGGACATTTCTTAGGCTCTAATTTATTTAATTGCTCTCTTCGAGTGTGTTAATGAGCTGGGTAATGTCCCCCCCAACTCTCACCTTTCCTCCCTGTACTTTTCTGAAACGTTTAGACCCAAACTGACAACCAGACTTGCTGCCATGTGACTAAGCTGCGCGCCCCCGCGAGAGCTCAGTCTACCGTCGATGCGCGCGCGCTCGCTCGCTCAGAGTTCTTCCTGTTGGCCACCGCTCCAACTACTGGTGTTGCCTGTGGAGTTCACCGCTCCAGCTCACACACACACACACATGCGCGCCAGATGAGCGTCCAAAGCCAAGCCGAAATTAGAGTGAGGCGGTTTGAAAATAACTTTTTAGCGTCCTGTGAAACACCAAGAGTCGACGGGCGCCCAGTGCTGCTCCGCCGGAACTTTGCCGCCACAGCAAACTCCTCCTTTTGGAATAAAGGACTATCTTAGACTGGTTAAGTTTAGGAAATGTTAAGTAGTGCTCTCTCGGTCACTCAGATTGCTGACGACATAAATTTTAACTCCCATTAGCACGCGATTAGCATTTTTACAGGTGTTGCCTATTCCAAAACCTCACTGAGGTAAACCAGGTTGAGGCACAGTGCCTAAACTACCCAACCAAATGTCATGATAGGGCTACTTCATTTAAATCAAAACCCCAGAGAATGTATTACTTTACAAAAGAGAGAGAAAGGCCTTAATGCAGCAGCTTTATGAGAGCAACCCAAGAAGAAAGTCACACATTTTAAAAATTAAGACCACCTTGAAATGGATAGGTTGTCTTTCACTCTCTCCATTATTGTCCTTCATCACCTATTTGACTTTAGGCTACA